CTTCCACTTTTTTGTGTCATTTTCAATTTCTTTTTTTAGTTTCTCATAGTTTTCCTTATGGAGGTTTTTAACTTCTTTGGTTAGATTTATTCCTAAGTATCTTGTACTTTTTGTGGCTATGGTAAATGGAATAACTTTTTTTCAGTTCTATCTCAGTCTTCCTGAGGCTCATATATAGAAATGCCATAGATTTCTGTATATTGATTTTGTATCCTGCACCTCACTGTATTCATGTATTATTTCCAGAAATTTTTTCATGGGAACTGTTGGGTCTTCCATGTATTTAATCATGTCATCTGCGAATAAAGAGAGTTTCACCTCTTCTTTTCCTATTTGAATGTCTTTTATTTTTTCCTCTTTTCTGATTGCATTGGCGAGGACTTCCAGTAGTGTATTGAAAAGGAGTGGAGAAAGTGGGCATCCTTGTCTTACATACGGTTTTAGGGGAAAATCTTTCAGTTTTTCTCCATTGAGAATGTTGTTTGCTATGGGTTTTTCATAGATAGCTTTTATTGTGTTGAGAAATGACACTTCTATGCTGATTTTGCTGAGAGTCTTGATCATGAAGGGATGTTTTATCTTATCAAATGCTTTTTCTGCATCAATTGATATGAACATATGGTTTTATCTTTTTTTGTGTTAATATGGTGTATTACATTTATGGTTTTGCATATGTAGAACCATCCTTGCGTTTCTGGAATAAAGCCTACCTGATCATGATGTATAATATTTTTTATAAGTTGTTGGATATGATTTGTATCTTGTTGAGAATCTTCACATCTATATTCATCAGGGATATTGGTCTACAGTTTTCCTTCCTTGTCCTGTCCTTATCTGTTTTAAGAATAAGGGCGATAGAGGCGTCATAGAATGAATAAGGGAGAGATTCACCCTTTTGGATCTTTAGACTAAATGTAAATTAAAAATTAATTTAAAAATGCATGAGAAATGGTATTTTGATTTATTTTTTTTTACTGTTATAAATTGAGTTTCTTAGTTTCTTAATTTCAGTGTGTGATGTGTGCATGTATGTATATATGTTTAAGACAGTGGTCACAATGCCATAACCCTCCAACTTTCCAGCTGATACTACAGACAGAAACCACCACACTTCGCTCCTTTTTTAGACAAAGTCTCGCTGTGTTGAAGGGAGAAGGTCTCAGCTTGCAGTATTCCTGCTTTGGTCTCATGGGTTGCTGGGATCACAGGTATACCCCATTGTATCTAGCTGTTCAACAGGACCATGAATCAAACCTAAGCCTCCCATGTGGTCCTAGACTGTAGAGCATAGCATCTTAGCAGTACCTACCACTGGGGGCAAAGATTGTAATTTTTATTCCTAGAAAATTATTTTGTTTTCTTTCAAATTGTTTTGGTTAGCTTCACTTATCTCTTGTTTTTGGATCATTTACTCAAATCTGATTTTTATTTGATCA